CTCTTCACTTTTCCCGTTCATTCAAATGCTTGTCTTGTTTGGTGATCCCCTTCTGCTGCTGTTCCTGGAACTATGGTCATCTTTATCTCTCTCTAGAATATTTTTTAGAACTCTGTAGGGTTGGTTTGGCAGTCATGAATTCCTTCAGTAGTTCTTTATCATGGAAGTATCTTATTTTTGAAAGTTTTGAAAGATAGTTTTTCAGGGTATATCAATCTAGGTTGGAAGTTGTTTTCTTTCAGGGTTTGAAACACTTCACTCCAAACTCTTCTTGACTTGATGGTTTGTGTTGACAAGTCTACTGTGATTCTGATTGGTTTTCCTTTATAGGTGATCTGTTTCTTTTCTCTAACAGCTTTTAATCTTCTGTTCTTGTGTTGAGTTTCTGGGATCTTGATTATTATATGTCTGGGTGTAGATTTACTTTGGTTATGGCTAGTTGGATTCCTATATGCCTCACTTATCTGCATGCCAGATTCATTTCCCACATTTGGGAAGTTTTCTGCTATTTTTTTTTTTTTTTTTGTCTTCTTGAGACAGGGTCTCATAGTGCAGTTCAGGCTGGCCTTGAGCTCACTTTGTAGCCTAGGCTGGTCTCGAACTCGCAATGATTCTGCCTCAGCCTCCTGAGTGCTGGGATTACAGACATGAGACACTACGCCTGGATCAAGTTTTCTGCTATTAGTTCTGTAAACAGCCTTTCCATTTCACTTGTGTTGACCCTTGCTTCTTCACCAACACCTATCACTATTAAATTATGCTTCTTTGTATCATCTTGCAGCAATTGAATTATTTCCTGATTCCTAGTTATTTTTAGATCTTTCTTTTCACGATTGATAGCTGCAATCCTCTCTTCAAGGTTTGAAAGGCTCTCTTCAGTCTCTTTCAAGTGGTTTTGCCAGCTTTTGATTGACTTTTTAATTTCCTGGCTGTCTCTTTGAATCCATTTCATGCATTGTAATTCCTTTCTATATTGTTCATTCAAGGTTTCCATCATTTTCCTATGCTCCTCTTTTTGTGTGTGTGTGTGTGTCTTTTTCCTTTTTATCGGTACTGGGGATCGAACCCACGACTGCCTGCTTGCAAGGCAGATGCTTATGCTGCTTAGCTAAATCCCCAGCCCCAATCCTCTTTTTTTTTTTTTTTAAGTCTATGTCTACTTGAGACATGCTGAGCAATTCTTTCAGTATGTTTGTGATTTCTTTTTTTACCTGAGACATTATTTTTGACTTTATTGCTTTTACAATCCGATGAAGTTGTTTCCTTACTTCAGTTGCTATCCTCTCAGAGATTTCAGGTGTGTGACTTCCGTTTTCTTCCATGGCTATATCTCTCAGACTTGTTCTGTGTGGGCTGGAGGTCTGAGATTACTCTTTACTCCTTCATCTTGGCATTCTCCTGGGTTCTTCCCAAACAAGCTGGCTGTGGGGCCCCATGCACTTCCCGCATTGGCAGCACCTCTGCAGTGTAGGGGATGGGACAGGCACCCAGGTTTCTCTAACCCCAGATTTACAGGGAGGAAGCAGGCATTGAGTGGGCTTCTCCAGACCTGTGCAGCTACACTAGGGCTTCCTTAATAATCGGGGTGCATGGAGATGGGTCTGCTTCTCTCAGCCTGTGTGTCTACAGTGGGACTCTCACGATGGTGGCAGGCACACAAGGGTGTGTTTGTCTGATTCTGCTGCTGGGTGATGACTGCCTGAAGGAACCAAGGACCTCCAGTGGTGGCCTTTACATGTGTGGGGCTTACCTGGCTGTGTGTGCCTGCTCCTGCTGACGGCTTACTGGAAGGAGCCTTCTGGTGGCAGTGCCCCGCAGGCGGAGGCAGATCCGTCTGGCTCTCTCTGTCTGCTCTAGCTGCCCACAGTAAGGTGCCTTCCAGTGGTGGCGCCCAGCAGGCAGAGGCTAAAATTTCTTTTAGAAAACATTTTATTGTTACATTTTAGGTATACACAATAACATTCACCATAGGGAGTTTGTATCTGTATATATCTTGCTGCTGCTGGATTTTTCTATTCTCCTCTACCTACAACCCCTCTTCCATTCCTTATGTACAAAAGCTGTATTTCTATTTTTTTCTTTGTTCCTTCTTTCCTTTCTCCCTGTCCCTTCCCTTGTTCCCCTTTTCTTTTGAACATTTTCTTCTCATTTCCCACCATTACACATTTTGGTCCTTATATACACTTTCAGTTTCTCACAACAGAGAAACAATGCTGTTTATACATGTGTATCCAGTTTATTTCACTTAAGACTATGGTCTCAAGGTGCATCTATTTAGATAGAAATGTCTCAGGTTTATTCTTCTTTATGGCAGAGTAGTACTCTACTATATAAAAAACAAACATCTTTATTCATTCATAGGATGGCTATTTTTTTTTAAGGATGGCTATTTTTAAAAAAGCAAATAAGTTAGTGATGGTGTGAAGAAAATGTAGCTCTTGTACATCACTAAGGGAATGTAAAATAATGCTGTCACTGTGGAAAGCTGGTAGCTTCCCAAAAGGTTAAAGAGAATTCTCATACAAGTCAGCAATCTGCCCTTAGCAATGTACCCAAAACATTTTTTTTTTATAGTACTGGGGGTCAAACTTACAACCTCACACTTGTCAAGCAGTACTTATGCTACTGAGCTAAATCCCTGGCCCAAAAATTTCAAATATAAGTTCAAACCAACCACTTGTGTGCAAATATTCACAATAGATAAAAGATAGAAATTTACATGTTCATTTAACTTAGATAACCAAAATGTAGTATATCCATTAATGAGAATATTATTCAGCCATAAAAAGGATTAGTATTGATACATACTACAACAAGGATGAGCCTTAAAAGCCAGCTAATAAAGCCAGATACAAAGGATTATACACTGAAATCATTTTTATGAAAAACCAAAAACTGCAGGGCAGAAACAGTATCAGGAGCTGAGTGGCTGGAATGAGGACTGATTATATAATAGGTACCGACTTTGCTTTTGAGGTTATGAAAATGTTTTGGAAATAAATAGCTGTAGAATATCAATATACTAAGTGAGTTCGAATAGTACACAGTAAAATAGTTAACCTTATGTGGATCTTACCTCAGAAATGCTTCAGTATCAGAATGCAATAATGTTATTCTGAAACTAGCACTTAAAAAACCACCTGTTATTAGTACAATGGTAATTACCAACCCCCAGCAGTGGGCATGGAACCCAGGGCGTAATAGGACCCGTTTGGGGACTCTAGTGTTCAGCTATAGCCACAGGCTTTTACATATTTTGACAGAGTCTTACTACACTGCCCATGCTGGCCTCCTGCTTGCAATCCTCCTACCTCACCCTCCAGAGCAGCTGGGATTAGATTTGTACCATCACATATGGCACCACCTTCAGGACTAAAAATGGTACGTCCCTCGTCTATAAAGTGGGCCCACAGGACTTACTCCTGTTAGTCATAGCTCTTAAAAATTATTTCCTCTTCCCAAATGAAATCTAAGTAGTGCTTTGATTACTATCTTAGAATTTTCAAAACATTTACATGTCTTTTAATTGTACTTAGCGGTTATATTTCAGACAAAAGATTTTTCCTTGATTATTTGTTGTATGGACCATGTGATAAGCTGTTAGCACAAACTTTTCTCTCTCATTGCATATGGATTTTGGTTTGTCTCAAATTAGCTTGTAGGAAATCTTTGTCTAGAGCATGTAAGATCTAAAGATACCTATTTCCATAAGGGAAGTCTTCCACAATTGTGTCTGACGACTTCTCCCTTGTACGTAGGTCTGTCTTCAGTATAAAGCCAATACATTATGATGAGATCATACCTCACCACTCTCAAAAAGATCGTTGAGTGAAATTATTGGAAATTTGAAACGACTTAGTACTCATTTTGAGACAGTCTGATTATGTAGTAGAGGTTAGCCTCCAATCAGTGACCCTCCTGCCCAGCTCCCGAGTATTAGATTACAGTGTGTGCCACATGCCTGGCAGCATTCAGCTTAGAAGCAACATACACTGTAACCAGCAATTATTTATCTGCTGGTGAATTATGAACTATGGGTATACTTGTCTGCTGTAGTGGCAACTGCAAGAATTCACTTTAATAATGCTCTAAATATTTTTAGTCAATATAAACTTTTCAAATGTTAATTCCTTCAGCAAGAACTTGTGGCATAAAATGTGGATGTTTTATATTTTCCATGTTGGTTAAAGGCATTACAAATTCTAAATAGAAGAAAATGTCAATCATAAAGAGAGCTTTTGACATTTCTGAGCACTACTATCCCAACTCACGGGTATAAGGGAATTTTGAGTATGATATTAATGTCACTTTCTTACTGTTTCCCACTTTTTTTTTTTTCTTTTTCCTTTTTTATCGGTACCAGGGATAGAACTCACAACTGCCTGCTTGCAAGGCATGCCCTTATGCTGTTGAGCTAAACCTCCAGCCCCCGATTCCCACTTTTGACTCATTTTAATGTGTCTCTACTGGAGATCTGACTGCAGTATGTAGTAGTATTGGCCTGGTATCCTGAAATATGTCTGATCAAGAAATACCGATGTAAGGATTTAGGATGTGGAATGCTTCATGAGTGCCTAGTTTTCCTGACCAATGTATAATCAAGCCAGCCATGATGTTAATATAGAATTTTTATTATGCTTTTTTTTATGGGCATGGGAAATTATCTCATGCTATAATTTTTTTTTTAAATCAAATTTTTGCTGAGAAACTTAAATGTTTTCTCTCAAGTTATTATGTGGGTCTGTCAATGTATTTGAAAGCAGGCCAAAACCAAACTTTTAAAGTAAGGAAGTCAGATTTGGTGGTGCAATCCTAGTACTTGAGAGGCTGAGGCAGGAGGATGACTGCAAGTTAGAGGCCAGCCTGGGTTACAGAAGGAATTCAAAGCCAGGCTGAACTGCATTATGGAGATCCTGTCTCAAAAACAAAACAAAACAAAACAAAACAAAACAAAACAAAACAAAACAAAACAACAAGAAAAAAGGAAGGAAGGAAAAAAGTGTATTATAAAAGGAACCAGATTCTGGTTTTAATTTATTTGCATTGTCAACGGCTCTTAAAACTCTCTCAAAAATGGTACTTACAAAGGCACAGTTTGGTAGCGTCAGTTTATTCATTTATGGTATTTTCTAAACAAGTTCCCAAGAAACTGACTCCTTAAACTTTTCCTTCAAGTGCTTCAAAGTTCAACCTTAAGTGCAGGTAAAACCTCATTCCCTAACTTCCTAAACTAAGAGTCTAACAACGCATTAGGCAGCAGGGTGTGAAAACAGACTACATTATCCAGACAATTTCTTAGGGTACTGGCTTCAAAATTAAAGAATCTGAAACATTGTTTTTCATGACTTGGAGCTTTTCTTGGGATAAGTAGGCTTTTAATATCTGAGCTAGAAACTAAATGTGGAATAAGGTAACATTTAGTTTTCTTAAATATCAAAAACAACTAAGATTAAAAATTAAGTGTGATAATGAATGAGTTAGTGAAGCTTTGTTATCCCTCTGGACACTAATTAGTACAACTCCTTGTTTTCCAAAGTTTGGCTTCATATGTAAATTTTCTTTTACAATGAATTATATAAACAGTGTTGTTCTGTATATTTCCACAGTTTGGCTTCATATTTAAATCTTCTTTTACAATGAATTATATATACTGTTGCTCTGTAACTCACATATTATGCTCATCTATAAAGTTTTTGTTTCAGGTATGCTGGAAACCCCTATTACCTTTTTTCCTATTTATAAAAACAAAATTTTCAAAACACTTTTAACTGATGAAGACAGCTCAAAGCTTCATCCAGTTTCCAGCTTGTGTTGGTAGACAGTTTCTCATACAGTAATGTATTGTGCAAGTATGGTCTCTAGTATGGTCAAGGCCAGGTGTGGTGGCTCACGCCTGTAATCCCAGCACTTAGGAGGCTGAGGCAGGAGGGTTCAGGGCAAGTTCAAGACCAGGCTGGCTACAAAGGGAGCTCAGGTCCAGCCTGAACTGCACAGAAAGACCTCATCTCAAAAAGTCAAAAAAGGGGGCTGGGGATTTAGCTCAGCAGGCATAAGTGCCTGCCTTGCAAGTGTGTGGTTGTGAGTTTGATCCCCGGTACCAATAAAAAAGAAAAAGACAAAAAAATATTGTAGTCAAATACCTGGCAATTTACATGAAAATACCTGGAACATTTTTCATGGGCAAGAATAAAGAGAATGAATATGTCACTATTCACTCTGAATATTAAACTGTGTTTACAACCATAAAAATTTAAATGAGCTTCAATATGAATGAGAGTATAAATTATGTTCATGTATACCGTGTACCAAAAACTAAAGAATGCAAACACCTTGTTGGTTGAAAAACAAAAGAAGTAATAAAAATTGGTGATGCTGTATTTTAATCTTTTGCTAAAACTCTGAAGTTGTAACAAATTGCTAACCAAATTGAGGTAGAAGTAGACCCTCAAGTTATTCCTCCATGTGTCAGAACTTGTTTCCCACCTTAACCTATGTGTATTTCTTTTCCCCACATTATAGAAACATGATTCAATTTGAAATGTGTTAGAAAGATCAAAGGGTGTTTTAAAAATTCTTAAATTACCAGCTTAAAAAATCTTTTCTAAAAATGTACACGATTCAATTTCTTTTTGCTAATCATAAATATATCTCTTTTCCTTCCACGTTTATGGAAAAAAGGTAGAGAAACTATACAATGCAAACATTATGAAGGGTCTTGTGACAAAGATCTGGAACATTACTAGGAATGAATATAAGGTTTTATATTAGTGGCAGATGTTCTCTTTGGGGGTTACATTAAGTTTCCTAAAAGTCATTGCCTTTTCAGATTTTAAACAAATGCCGTTAAACAAATCTATTTCCATTTTAAATCACACACAAGAGCTATGTGATCTGAAGGATGGGAAACACTAGGTAAGGCCTGGTGGGTAGTAACTTCTTCATGACTAGGTAACGGAATCACCTGTTCAACCTCTAAAGCATCTGAGTCAATGAAAATGTAATCTAGACACCCATGAAAGCCACCAACATAATTTGTGTAAGCAGGTTCACCACAAGCACTTCTCAATTTGAAGAAATGCTTGAGAGACATATTGCATCTTTCTTCTTCCCCGTTGGAAGCCCAGTCTTCATGGTCCTCTGGAATGCTGCCACTGATGACAAACTCATACATTCCTGTTGATGGTGTACTATTGAAGTCCCCGCAAAATATAACGGGAATGCCGGGATACAGATCACACGAGACATGTTTAATATGAGCCAAGGCTACTGCCATCTGAATGAGACGAATGTACCCTCCTAGGAATACAAAAAACATTAATATAAGTACTTTTAAAAGTTGTCTTTAAGTAAAAGAATAAAAGAAAAAAGAAACGAACCTTACAAATTACAGTATTTGAGTGACATTCAAGATATTGTGTCTTTGCATAAAAGCATTTTGGCAAACTTGTCACTCTGTTTAAGTCATTGTGAAGCCAAATACAGTAAAACTTACCTTTGGGATGCCAGTAGAGATGTGTATTAGCAACACATATTTTTTTAGAAGAGTCTTTTGTAGACTGAAGAATTGAAACCTAAAATAAAGTGCCAAGAGTTCAGTTGGTATCAATCTCCTGAATGTTTTTACCTAATATGATGAACTGATATTTTATTCCATTTGCTTCCCTTGATAAAGACAGCAATTATGAAATCTGATGTGTTAGGATATATGTGAATAGGATTAATTTGAACATTTTAATAACTGTTCGACACATAAAGCTCTTATTAAAAACATCTTTTAGTAGAAATGTTTCCAGAATTGGAAAAAACAAAACAAAACATCTTTTAGATAACAATGTTAAGGTTAGAAAAAATGTTTTCAAGTCTGTAACAAACCATTCACAGCAGAGAGACACTTTTCTAAGCTAAATTTCATAGTAATAAAGAAACCATTTCCTCCCATTATGGAGGGTTGTTATGTATATTCAATTATATGAGTTTATACAGAGGTGCACAGAATATAGTAGGTGCTCAAAAAAAATGGCAGCTATTCTTTAAATGTTTTGAGTTTTTTCTTTTTTGAGATGGCCTCACTATGTAGTTCATACTATGTTGTAGCCCAGTCTGGCTTCAAACTCATGGCACTCCTCCTGCCAATCCCAGACTCCTAAATGCTGGGATTACAGGCATGTACTACCATGCCTCACAAAAAGACAGAGTCTCACTCTGTAGTTCAGGCTGGCTTTGAACTCACTATGTAGTTTAGGCTGGCCTTGAAATCATAGCAACCCTCCTGCCTCAGCCTCCAGAGTGCAGGGATTAGAGGCGTGTGCCATTATAACCAACTCTTTAACATTTTTTTAAATTTAAATAAAACCAACTGCTTAAAAACTTTGGATATGCAATGAACATGTTTCTTTAAATGAACATGACTTTAAAGTAGATAGCAGTTAATACCTTGCCCAGTGATGATGGTAAATACAATAGAATCAATTCACTATGAATCCTGGCTCTGTGGCCAGGGGTTTAACTCAGCAGCATAAGTGCCTGCTTGGCAAGTGTAAGGTTGTGAGTTTGACTCCAGGTTCAAAAAAAAAAAAAAAAAAAAGAAAAAAAAAAGAAAAAAAGCCTGCATCCATAATTATGTGAACCTGGTAAGTAAATCTGACCATTTTCTCATTTATAAAATTCATATGCCTTGTTACCGGTCATCTTGAACCATTGGTGGTACATAACTGTTCTATGGATGACTTCCCCAGTGGTACACCAGTGGTAAAAGCCGCTCCAAGGACAGTCAAGCATGTACCGCAGGAGGTTTAAGCTGGCAGGAACTTGTTAAGAGACCCAATGTTATAAAAATACTGGGTAATAGATATATAAAGCACTTCATGAAACACAAGAGGCTCTTAAATCTTAAGTACTTTAAAATGTGTCGGTGACTGACAAATACAGTAAGAAAAACAATTAGCTGCTACCATTATTCTTGTATTTAGCATATGTCTCCCTAGACTGTAAGCATTAAGAAAGTCTTCGTCTGATGTGTTGAAAACTGCAGTGTGGCAGGCACGCTGTAGTCGCAAAATAAATTTGCTGAATTAATGAATAAAAACTGAGGATACAAGAGTAAACACGTTACAATAAAACCTGGACAGCTTATTTCACTATCATCCCTCCACCCTGCTCTTTCAGGTCCCTAAAAAAGTCCGGATTTATGAAGAGATAGGCAAAACTACCTCACCTGCAGGACAGAAGATCTCTGGAGCACCTTCTCCTGCGCCAAGGGGTACAAAACTAGCTTCTCCAGCAGTTCTTTGTGAAGTGAGTCGGACTCCAGGGCTTCCTGAAAAGAAATGTCATGCTGGCCAACGAGGGTGAACTTTGACTTTCGGTAAAAAGTGGCCAGACCTTCATGCTGCTTGATTCGAAACACGCCCTCCAGCCCAAAGGCCTCCAGAGCAGGTACCAAGCTATCCGCAAACACTGCGCGGTCAACTTCTTGCAAACAGATGAGGTCGGCGTTGTAGCCGGCGAGTTCCTTCTGAATAAGGTTCTGGCGGTAGTCGACCTCCAGGGCGTAGGGGGCACAGTATGGGTACAGTACAGTCCTGGAGAACTCAGTCTGGGCGTACGTGTCCGCGAGGATGTTGTAGGAGACCGTGCGGACCAGCGCGTCGTCTGTCACCTTCTTGGTGTAGAGATGCCGGTGGTCAAAAGTGCAGGTGCCAGGTCCGGCCTCCACCGGGCACACGCTTTCCAGCTCGCGGCTCGGCCCGAAGCGCTGCCCATTGCCGGGGGTGCAGCGGAGCCTGAGCCGCAGTCCGATGTCGGCGTTGGAAGGGGTGTAGACCCGCTCCCGCACACCGGTCTCGGTCCAAGCGGAAGTCGGCGAAGAGGGAGGCAATGCAGACGGGCCGCCGCCCTCAGGCTCCGCCGCTCCTGGCCTGGCTTCCTTGTACCAGAGGAAGAGGCAGCTCGCGGGATCCCCAAATTCCAGGCTGAGTTTGGGGCACACCGGGAAGCCCGCCATGACGTAGCGCGGCAGCTGCAGCTCGGTGAAGGCGGGCGGGTTGCGCTCCACCTTGTACTTGACATCGCCGATCTGAAGCACCGCGCCGTCCTGCCAGGCGTCCACGTTGAGCACATCCTCAGCCACGGCCTCCTCCCGGTAATACAGCTTCACCACCGGCTCGGAGGCCGCAGCCGGCTCAGGTCCGGACACCGAAGGGTCCGCGCCGCCGCTCGCGCTCGGCCGGTTCTTCCGACTCTTTTTAGCCGCGGCCGCCTTGGCGTGGCCCTTGAGGGCGTTGGTGGCGATCCGGCTCAGCACTCGACCCAACGGCTCGCTCTGATCGCGCTGCATGTTCTTGTGGCTGCCGTCGGCCAGGGCAAACGACAGGCTCAGCTTGGGCTCAGAGGGCACACAGCGCACCACGGCTCGCTCCATCGCGCCCGCCGCCTTTTCGCTCGCCGCCTCGGCCGGGCTGCAATGTCCCACCGCGGTCCGCACCCCTCGCAGCGTGGCGCGGACGCCTGAGAACCTCCACATGAACCTGGCGGCCCAGCAGCTGGCAGGACCAGGGCCGAGGCGAGGCCGGGTGTCAAGCTGAGGCACAGGAGCCGCAGCCGGCAGATCCCGGATCCATTCAGACTCCACGACTTCCGGCCGCCGCGCCGCGGCGCGCGATGCTTCCGTCACCCTCCTCCCTGCTGCTGCTTTCTACAGCCATGCCCCTCTCGAGTTTCTAGCAGCTTAGTTTTATATTCAACCCGGGCTGTACCAGGAAGCGGTGGAGGAGATACCAGGCGGCAGCTGAAGCCTGAGGCCCGTCGTTTTGTTGAAAGTGCAGACTGCGGAAGCGTGGGCAGGCGCGCCCAGCCGACGTGGTGGGCGGCGCCGCGAGTTCCGCTTCCGCCGAGGTGGCGGTTGCCTGCCCGCTCCCGGTGTGGGCTCGCGAGCCGCATTCCGCGAGGGCGGTGGGGAGCCGCTTTCGGATTGCAAGCTGGACTGTGCGCGGAAGGCGCTGCTCGTCTCCTCCCCGCAGTGCTGCCAGGCCTGCTGTCCTCTTCCGAGGCGTGGTGGGTTCCCCGGCCGGCCCCGCCTGAGCCCGGGAGGTGGTTACGCTGTAGTGGAGCCGTAACTCGCGTTTCCCTAGCGCCGCCAAGCGGGCGGAAGTTAGAGACGCGCTCAGAGCCGCAGTTTAGAGTACTGGATGGAAACCGACAGCACTGACAGCCCGCGGAAGGCTGCGCGTTTTTTAATAGTAAAGTGGAAAACCGTTTCTATTTGGGATTACCCGGATTAGCAAATAAAAGTACAGGACTCCAGTTAAATTTCTTTTTCTTTTGTTTCTTATGTGTGGTGATGGTAGTATTAAGAATTAAACCCAGGGACTCGCCTGCCAGGCAAGTGCTCTGCCACTGAAGCACATCTCCAGTCGCCGGTTAAATTTCAGTTAAGGACTAACAGTGGAAAGGCTTCTATGTATAGAGTAATTCTTTTGTTTGTCTGAAATTCATTTTTTAAAAAAAATTGGGGCATATTAATGATACGAATGATGAGATTTTGGTGTATTGGTCCACGCATGTATTTTTTGTTTGTTTGTTTTGTTTTGGTCCCGTTTGGCCTTGTCTGCTTTTCCTTCCCCTACTCTTGATCTTCCCCGACTTTTTTTTTTTTTTTTTTTTGGTGATAGGGCGTCAGTTTAAGTCTATAAGGAACTCTTGGGACCAACGATATAACTGCGGCACAGTGCCTGCCTGGCAAGCACAAGGTTGTGAGTTTGATTCCTGATATCAAAACAAACACAAACAAACAAACCAAAACAAAAAACAACAACAAAAAGCCCAGAACCAAAAAACTCTTTTAAGCATCATGGATTAATTTCTTTACCTTGCACATCCATTTAAAAAGTTTATTTATTTGGTTTATTGGTATTGGGGATTGAACCCACAACCTTGTATATGCTAGGTAAGTACCATCGAGCTATGTTGCAGTCCTTTTTAAAATTGTGTTTTAAGAAAGAGTCAGTAAACTGCTCAGGCTGACCTTGAGTTTATCAGCCTCCTTCCTCAGCCTCCTAACTGAGATTACAGATGTGTACTGCCTTGACTGGCTTGTTAATGTATGTTTTTAAGTTGAGATCTGTGTGTTGTCTTGAGTTCCTTGGTTCAAGTGGTTCTCCTGTCTCAGCCTCCAGAGGACCTAGGACTACAGGTTCATGGCGGTGATGCCTAGCTTGCACTTCCATTTTCAGTTTTGAAATGATAGTCTAGCAAATTCACCTCGGTCTCTGAGCATCTTTACCGTTTGTATTATGAAGAACGAGGAGGAAAAGGAGGGGGAAAATACTAGGGAATCACATTTTGATGTCATAGCCAGACATGCTTTTTAAATAATGGGTTTGGACTGGGGATATAGGTCAGCAGCATAGCGCCTACCTAGCAAGTGCAACGTTGTGAGTCCAATCCTTGGTATCACAAAAGAATAAATAAGGTTTTGCTAAGTGAACTTACTTGCTCTTGTAAATAATATTTTTGACTCCAGGGCACAAAACTAGAGCTTTTAGGGAAGGATTTTTCAACTGCAAATTAATATTTTTAGTTTATTTCCTTTCATTCAAAGCAAAGTATCAAATTTGTACAGGGCCATTTTGCAGAAATTGAAAAATGGATCCCAAAATTTATATGGATATGCAAAATGCCTAGAAGAGCCAAAACTAGGTATTTTTTTATAACGAAAAGTCAGAGGATTAACACTATACAGTGTAAAATCTATAACTGCTCTTAGTAAAGCTGTACTAGTCAAGGCATTATGGTATGGTTTATAAATAGGCATATAGATCAATGAAACAGATTTGAGAGTCCAGAAATAAACCTTTACATTATAGTGAAATAATGATTGTTTTAAAGTCTTGTCGTGTTGCCCTGGCTGATCTCAAACTTGTGGATTTAAGTAATCCTCCAACCTCTGCCTCCTGAGTAGCTGGGACTACAGACATCCATTGCCATGCCAAACTCGTCAAGCGATCCTTCTCCACTTCTCCATGCTCCCTATTTTGGGATTTGAACTCAGGACCTTGAAGTACAAGCATGTGTTGTTGAGCTACATTCCCAGCCGTTTTGTTTTTATTTATTCTGACACAGGGTCTTGCTAAGTTGCCCACACTGTCTTTGAACTCCCATTTCTCCTGCCTTAGCCTCCTGTGTAGCCAGAATTGCAGCCATGTGCCCCTATTCCCTGCTTGTGTGTGTTTGACAAAGGCATCAAGGCATTTTTTTCAGAGAAAGACAACCTTATCAGCAAATGATACTGAAACAATTGTATATTCACATGAAAATAATTAACTCAATGAATTGTAGACTGAAATGCAAAACATACAATTAGCAGGAAACATGGGGGAAAAATCTTCATAACCTTATCTGTCTTTTATACATGACCTCAAAATCATCAAGGAAAAACAATAGACACATAGAACCTTATACACAACCTCACACTTGCCAAGCTGGCCTGTACCGCTGAGGTATACCCCAGCCCAAATCTCCAAACCTTTTCTTCTTTCTTTTCTTTATCTTTCTTTCTTTTTTTTTTTTGTTTGATACTGGGAATCAAACTCAGGACTTTGCACTTGCCAGGCAGGCACCTGTGCTGCTGAACTATATCCCTGGCAAAATTAAAAACTCCTGGTCTTCAAAGATTTGACTAAACTGGTATGGTAGTGCATGTGTTTAATCCCAGCCCGTGGGAGGCTGAGGATCAATCACTGTGAGTTTTAGGCCAGCCTGGGATACATGGTGAGTTCAAAGACAGTGTGAAATACATAGCAGGACCTGTCTGAAAAAGAATCTCCCCCCTGGAATATGATTAAGAAAAAATGACAACACTGACTGAAAAATACATTTGTAAATTATCTGATAAGAATCTTGTCTCTGAATATGTAAACAACACTTAAAACCAGATGATAAACTAAAAATGGACAAAACTTTTTTTTTGGTACTAGGAATTGAACTCATAGTATTGTACTTGCCAAGCAGGCACTTGTGCCACTGAGCTAAATCCCCATGTGCCTTGGGCTGTGAATATAGTGGGAAGCACTTGCCTAGCATCAGGAAAGCCCCAAGTTCAGTTCTAACACTATGAAGAAGAAGCAGGTAGAAGCAGAAGCAGACAGTGTGTTAATGGCTCCTAAAGCACATGGTCAGCAACATTAGGGAAATACAAATTAAAACCACAATCACTATATGGTTACTAACTATATGGTTACTAGAATAACCTTATGCAAAACCTTACCAGGTGTTAGCAAAGATGTAGAGAAATAGACTCATAGACACTGCTGGTAGGAACGTAAAATCAGCCACTTTGGCAGTTTCTTACAGTGTTAAACATAGACTTAGCATTCAAACCAGCAATTACGTAGATCTCACACCATGAGGTATGTAAATTATGTTCATCCAAAATTTATAGATAAATAATGCATAGTGGTCTCAAACTGGTGAGTGGGTAAATAAAACATATACATATAATGGGATACAATTCAGCAATAAAAAATAATTTCTATTATATCTTACATATGGGTGAACCTCAAACACACTGTCATGTGAATCAAGCCAGACCAAAAGACTACGTAGTGTATGACTACATTTATGAGAAATACCCAGAAACTACAAACCTGTAGAAGTCAAAAACAGATTTGTGGCTCCCTAATACTAGCAGAAAGCTAGTTTGCTTTACAACTATCAGAAAGTTTTATTTGTTCACTTACTTTATTTTTAAATTTTATTTTATTTTTGAGACAAGGTCTTGCTATGTAGTTCAGGCTGGCTTTGGAACTTTCCAGGCTTGCCTGGAATTTGCAGTGTTCTTCCTGCCTCAGCCTCCTAAATCCTGGGATTAACCACTATGCCTGGTCATTCATTCACTTTTTTTTTTTTTGTCTTTTTCGTTTTTATCGGTACCGGGGATCGAACTCACGACTGCCTGCTTCCAAGGCAGGTGCTTATGCCGCTGAGCTAAATCTCCAGCCCCCTATTCATTCACTTTTGATGACATTTATGAAGTACTTATTATATACCAGATATAATTATGTAGGCTGTACCCTCATTAAAACAAAAAAATTCTTGACATAGTGATTGGCGTGCCGACATACTTGTCAAATGAATATGGCATCAATACACCACTAGGATTAACTCATCCCTCAATTTTATTTAGGAACCTAGTAGGCTGTTGTTTAGATGGAGCATACCCTGTGAGGTATCCAGTTGCAAGCTTTCACATTTTTCTCTCCAAACATGCTTGCAAAGTTACCTTAAACTGTTTGATTTTGGCAGGGATTTTCCTGAAAATGCTGGTTAAACAGCAGCACATAGGAAAAACAAGATCACCTGCTAAATTGTAACAACATTCATAGGAAGTCATTATGGATACATTCGAGGACTTTCTGTGAGAGGAAGATATATATATATATATATATATATAAGCTTGGCAGTTTTCTACAACTTAAAGACCCTGGTTTTCCTGAACCCCTTCCAAAGGAAGGCAGTTAGGTTTTA